TAGAAATGAAAATTTTTAATAGTAAGGGACATTTGAATTATGTCCTCACAAATAATTTAGGGACCCATCTTTACCTGCGAGATCCCGGTAGCACATACCAGGGATGATGAATATCGCTGAGGGTCAAGGAGAACCCGCGGATGGCGAATCGAACATGAAGCATGGGGCTAGGGATAGAATGGTAAGAGAGTTAGAGGCCAATGGTAGAATGCCGCAAAAGAAAGAAAACGCCACAACGTATCTGAAATTTACTAAGACTGACGATTGGAAATGCTGAAATGATATTATGATCCCAATCACAATCACGATCACAAATCATGATCGCGAAGAAAAAGTTTATCATATGAAGTCTGCAAGCGATAAGCACACCTAGAATATATATGCATGCATATATATTCAGAACGGCAACGAATGTCTAATGCTTTGACAAGCCCCCACCACAATAATCAACATCACGACCGACGAGAGATATACCACCCCGACAATTGGAAATACCAGGACAAGACCACGAAGAAGGTACTGACATGGAAAGAAAAAGAAGAAAAAAAGACAAGAATGGTTAGAGAAAGAACTAACCACCCAAAAACAGAATGGTTATAGCAAACAGAATGCTTACCTCACGAGATGATAACTCTGATGATAATATGGGAAGCTGTTATGACCATGATTGTAATCTCGATCACGATCGCGATCGCACCTCCACCACTAAATCAATCGCAGTCACAAGCACTAATGACGAATTTGTTGACACTAAGGATCACAATTCGCAAGTTAATAATTACCCAGGAGAATCCGCACAGGTTAGGTAAAGGTTGGTGCAATCTTTATCAACACAACCATTCCCCCTGATTCATCAAGATCATTCTACATCACAACCATCACGTACCTTATCCCACTACCACCAGTAACAGCATCTTGATCCGATTGATACTTCCACCTACCATGAATCTGCGATCCTCACTGATCCTCGCGATTGGATCAACACTGTCAAAGATCACATAACAGCATCTTGAGCTGATGGTATCTCTACAAAGAAAAAGAGATGTGGTTAACATATACTTCGATGCCATAAAACCCTACTAGCATATACAGTATGTATCTACATGTCCTAATCTTGTCCCGATACAAAATTACACTTCATTATGTATCCCCCTTATTTCATTGTGATTTAACCGCGCCACATTACCATTGAGATTCCACAAAAATAAATAAAAATAAAAGCAAAGTTAATAATTATCTTTATACCCTTTTAATTACCCTTACCTTTTTTATAATTCCTTCATTATTCCTTTGATTATCCCCCTATTCTATTAGTATTTAATAACACACATATCGTTTTACTTTTCTATTTTTAAGACTTGAGAAAATATTATTATTTGCTTGGATAATTTCATAAAGCCATTACATAGCCGTAGACGACCTTGATTCTTAGAAATCCATAGCATATGCTGGTTAAAGGCTGGTCAGTTATGAAGCACAAAATTGTAGCAGGATGATGTTTGAGGCTATAGTATTTTATAAAATTATCAAAGTGATTAATACTATTCTTTCAATTCATTTTGCACGAATAATATATTTATTTTATTCACATAAACATTTTATTAATACTTTATTATTTTATTATTATTATTATTATTATTACTTTTACATTTTTAATAAGAAACGTTGAAATTTTGAGGTATTCTTTAGCTACTGTATGAAATACAATATCCAGGCTATACATGTGGTGTAAATTATTTTGCTGTTGACTCAATTGTCAAAATCCTCAAAAATAATTGCGTCTGACTCAATTATTTTATATGTTTTAATAGTGACTCAATTAATTGCATCAAATAATTGCGTCAATTGCGTCAAGGATCTACCTATTTCTACCACATGTATAATCCAGACTATATGACATGGATGTAGATACCATGATAGCCCAGTCCTCAACTTGCCCAAACACAAGTATCATTGAACTCTTGAAGTGAAGGAAGGAATCTGAAACTAAGAGCAAGCAAGAAATACAGTGCAATAAAGAGAGCCTACTAAGCTCTCCTCTATCATTGCAGCCAGCTCACAAAGTATACTCAGCGACTATTGTATTTCTTGTAATGAATTCATGAAGCTAGGTTAAACAGAACAAAATATCAAGGTTAAAAAGGCAAACCTATAACTAAATTCAAAGATGAAAAAAGGACCGATTAAAAGAAACTGGTACAAGATTTCTTACAAAACAAAAAAATATATATAACAGTAAAATAATCGGCCAGAACCCTAGCTCCAATTATTTGTCACCGGCCAGAACCCTAGCTCTAGTATGTCATTTTTCTTATCAGTAGTAACCGTTTCACCCAAAAATAATTCTTTATTTAAAAACAAAATTCTTATATATTATTATTTTTATTTTTATTTTTTCTTTCTTGTTCTTTTTGATAACTGAGAGAACAAGGCCCAGGATTTCTTCCAGGATTTAATCATACCCAGTTTGGATTAAGTTTATATTCATATCCAATAAGCATACCATCTCTATCATATGGAGAACAATATTGTTTTTCCCAAGGACCACCCATATGAGCCCAGGAATTTGAGTTAGGACTTAAAGTTCTTTAACAATGAAGAAGTTGCCTTTCTAATTCTTTATTTCTGGATTCAAGTTCAGCAATACGACGTCGGAGGACATCAATCATATCTGATCGAGTTTGACTTACAGCCAAATGATTGGTAAATTCTTCTTTAAGTGTAGTTATTTCCTTTAAGACTGTTTCCAACTTTTGTTCCAAGAGAAGATTATTTTGTTCTGATCTGCGCAAACATCTTTGCAAATATTTGGCATGTTCTTCCAAGTAGTTAACTGTAATTTCCAATGGATTTTTATTGGAGGAGCAAGTAATAAGATAACTTCTGGACATAATAACAACAAACCTGAAGTGAGAAAAAAATAAAGAAAAAAATCAGTACCCAATATTAAAACAAAGAGAAATAGTTCAAAAAAATTGAATACCTTGGAAAACAATATGCAAAAATTTTTGAAAATAATAGTTGAATTTGCACTTGGGAAGTTTAATAATATTTGAACAAAAATCAATTCTTAAATATTAAATTATTTGAGAAACTGATGAAAACAAAAGATCTTTTGGCCGCTATGAATCTGCAACTTGAAATTCACCTCACCATTGTATACCATTTAAGGAAACAAGCATATAAGCAAACTTGAATGGATTGACCTAATATAACTAGGAGAGATAATCATTTACTATTTCTAGAATTTCTGTACTATTGATCTACTGTAGTACTTTCACCTACTTCACCTACTTAGCCATCTCTACCTATTTTGAAATATTCTTTAGTTTTACTTACTATTATTACTTTGCTATTTTCACCAGAGTATTCATCTCTACCAATGTTGTTATAGTTGACTATTTTGACAAAGATATCATCTCTTCTATAGTTATTATCTTTATCAAAGTATACTACTATCATGTATATAATCATATATCAAAAACCTGTATAGAAACACCTCCAATTCTTTCTG